GCTGGGCGAACGCTATCTTTTCTGGGCGATCGAAAAGGTCTGCTGCGATGAGTGTAGTGAAACGCTCAGTGCGATTCAAGTGGTACGGACTCGCTTTCAAAAGGGTCTTTATTTTCTCCTTTCTATTCCAGACTTGAGTGGTGAGGTTAGCGGTGTATTCCTCTCCCTACTCTGATTCCACATCTTTTTCTCTGACTTTTCCCTTTACTTCTTCATTGCTTTGCTTCTTTCACCTCACCTGCATCTCTGCTGACTGTAATTTCTTTCAATTAAGAGGTAGGTTCCAGACGGTGAGCACTAGCTGATCACTCTAGTCTCTAGTCGGGATTAAGGATTCAAGTTGCTTGCAAAGGGTCTAGAAAGCTATGCTATACTTAAGAAATTGATTTGCTAGTCGGACAGAACGTATTGAATTTTGCAGTCGTTTTTATCTTCGTTTAAGATCTTCTGATCATCCTTTTTCCACATCAATTAGCTATTTCGTCTACTTCGACAGATTTCTACCCGTTTTATTCGAATCGATTGTTTGAAGTGTTTCAAAGGGTGATAACGATCAGCGAGTGATTTCTATCCTTTTGTGCATAAGGACTTTCCAGCCCCCAACTCTTACGATCCATTCTTTCATTAGTGCTGTATTTGAAATTGTTACGCATTTTTCATTTTTGAGTAATATCAAAGGTGCCCTTTGAGGCAAAACATTTAAAGGTGATTCAACCTTTTGGTATATAATTTGTTTATGTTTTCAATTTCGCAGCAAATGACGAAAATCTCCCCCCTTATTTGGTTTGAAAGCAAAGGGTTCGAAGATATCTATCTTGATAAATGAACGGGAATAGCTGGAGTTTTCAATATCGGAAGTGAGCATCTTTACACTGCATTAGTGTAGCATTTTTTGTACTTTTCTGTTGACAGAGCTGTAAAACTGAGTAGAAGTAAATGATTGAGGTCTTCGCTCGAGTCAGTTCGTCCAGTACCTGTTGTGGATTCGGAATTCATAAAGCTCCATTTACCTGTCTTTTTTTGTAGCTCCCCTGTGGGGAGAATCATGTTAAGAGCCATCCCAGTGACTTGACGGATCAATTCATGCTAATCTGTTTACGGAAGCTAATGGATTCGATCTATCTCTATCTCTTTTCGGCGGCATTGTGATTCATTTTCAAGTTGCGTTTGGCGATTATGCGTCGTCGATGTTGTCGTCATCGACATCATCGAACTGACGGTGTCCGTCGCGGTGGCCGTTGACCACTTTGTGTAATTTTTTCTGTCTGGAACTGTGGACCGTAGCTCTCCTAGTAGTTTCAATCAACGCTCATTTGGGCGCATTTCTCGCTTATCATTTGGAATGTGACCTCGCTGTATCATGAGCGATGGCCATCATCTAACCGAACGTTATATATTATCCACCACACCCACCTTAGTGTAGTAGGGGCGGAGAAGGTGAAGTCAGAGCGCAGACATTTGAGCTTGCTTCAATTTGGAGCGATGTTTTGCTATTACTCATAATCAGTGGTGCCCTTTCGAATTTCATAAAACAATCGCTGCCAGGAGATATTTTTTCGAGGCTTAGTCATCTATGTTTCTTCCGAGGAAATTGCTTTCTCAAAAGATGATTTACAGATGACGAAGCCGCCTATCCGCGTGGTCGCGCAACCACCACCGCCTCGAATCGCTTCACAGTCACAACACTACACAACGGCCTCTTCAGGCTCCACAGTTCTGAACACATCACAATGTGGTCTGTCATCAGTCGGCGTCGTCAAGGCGTCATCGTACGCGGTTCCCACCATTAGTGTCCCCCCGATGGCCAACAGGTAATGGGATTTTTTTGAGTAGCTATTTTGTGACCATAGAATTTAGGAATTGGTCGTATTCGGAAGAAACGTTGTGTTTTGGTTCTTCATAAGGGATCAACAGGAGTTAGGAAGGGTTACAGCATGAAATGAATTGTTAATTATGATTGATATTGAAAGTGGATTTATTTTATTTGTGATGTTTTCGCGTGTTATAATGGGTGGCGTGACAATATAAACAGTATTGTTTAGTGAGAAAGGGCGCATTGGCGCAGAAACAGGATCGCACTGACAGGCACTGCAGAATGATAACTGCCCAGCATAGTATAGGGGGGGATTGTTTTCGAGGCAATTTTGATTCGGTCAGGTTTTTTAAATGGTGAATCTGAAAAGTTTGGGGGTAGTGTATTAGGAGCTAATCGTTTTCAGCGGTGGAGCATTTGTCGAGCGTTATTCTCTCTGTGGCATATATTCTTTCTTCAGAAGTTACAATGACATGGTCGACTATGCCGAGCAACAGCGACGGCAGATCGAAGCGAATCGGTACTTTTTTATTTATTTTTCCTTTTTGAAATTGTTTTTCTAAGGTTACTGACTGTAATTGAAGTTTGGGAGGCATACTAGAAAACAATCATGCTTTCAGCCGGGAAGTTGAACGACGACAAGTGATGCGTAGTCAAGGTGGCGTTGATGCTGCGCAGAAACTGAATCTGATTCGTAGAGACCTGGCCGAAGAGGAAGGCGAATTGAGAAGGTCCGTCAGAAAGTGTGACTACTTAAGCAAATGATATGACCTTGGAGCTTTAGGTTGTCTGAGTTGGAACATGAAACGCGCAATTTGACGAGGAGAAATGGCGAAAAAGAGACTGAATTGAGTCATCTGAGCGCTGAGCTGCGGGAACAGCAAAGTGTGCTCCGAGCTGCAGCCAGTCGAGTTGAGGCTCTACAGTGGCAGGTAATGAAGGATGCGTAATATCGATATTGTAGTACTTTATGGTTTTTGCGGGGTTAACTTTATTTGTGGGTAAAGAAGCAAACATGTTCAGTAAGAATAGTGGTCCGATCTCCAATTTTGTCCAGCTCCACGATTTCCAGAAGTCGCTTCAGGGTCCTCCCCGTTCTCATTTTGGAGGGTAAGGTAGCATAGGTAGTATAGCGAGCACTGCAGCGTAATAAACTGCTCTAAAAAGTTTCTGCTTACGTTAGCACCGCAATAAAATGTCGCAGAACTGTAAAGGCAACCGAAAAATGACGCTGGAATCAGATTGGTCTGCGGTGGTCGGATGTGCTGTGCTTTGTACAATTTAAGTAGTCCCTATAGGGTGAGAAGGAAGTAATGGAAAGGATTACATCCGAAATATTCTTGGTGGGAGGAGTAAATAACAGTTTGTAGAAAGCTGTGAGACCTCACGATCTGGAGGGATCACGCGGGTGATCGAGGGAGCGTAGATGAGGGGAAAGCGGTAGGATTTCCGAAAATATAGGACGGCATCCTTCATGTTTGCATCTATGTTTGTTCTGGTTTTCTGACATTGATGAAGTAAACATCTTGGTTATTCGTCTTTAATCATTCTGGGTTAAAGCCAGTCCCAGTTTATTGCTTAACGGCTCCTCATAAAAGCATTAGTTTCCTTTGTGGCCATTAGTTTTTCCGGATTAAGGAATTTGCTATTCGCCAATGATGATGCAACTATGTGATTGATTTCTAGTTCTGTTTAGATCGATGAAATATATCGAAGAAGAAAAGCTGCGGCTGCAGCGGCACTTTCGGAACAACGGAAAATGCAGCAACAGGTTGTGAAGCTAGTTTCGTTTTACCAAGAACATATGTCTTTGAGAATTGCTGCAGACATTTCCGTTAAGGGGTTTCCTTGATTTAATCCAAGTTTACAGGCACTGCGAGTGCAGGAACTGGGCCGTACGGTGGCGGCAAACGAGCGACCTCGCGCCTCCGTAGAACCATTCCAAGCCAGCCATCTGACTGTGCATGATACAGAACCGGACTTGAAAGAGGAAAAGTGCGCTGTGGGCGAATNCTCTCTGGACGGGTACGTCACGTCAGTCAGTTCTTTGCGACAGTGGATCCATCTTGTAGAAGAACATGGCAATGTTGTAGAAGATGCACGAAAAAATCCGGTTCTTCAAATGCATGACGACTTGTGCCCATAAGCAGTGCTGAGCAGTTTGATTTAGGGGTTTTGTAGACGATGGAGAGATGGTAGAGGCTCCTAAATTTAGTTTTCATGCGCTCCCACCATTCGAGTGGAAGTGTTCGAGGCTTCAACTCATGTAGAAACTTTTTATGAATTCCATGGATGTGAAGATTCTGCTAGAAAGTTTCAGTGTATAGGCGAGGTCCTCTCATGTATTTTTTTTCTTCGCATCGCAAGTTTGCCACCTATCGATAATCAAAAAGGAAAGTGGCTGAAGGTCTGGGACGGGAACCTGAACTGATCAACCGTTTTTGTTGGAAATATCGCTAAAAGATAATAGTGCTAAGCACGTCCGACCAAGTTGATAGCCATGGCAAAAAACTTGATATTCTGTTATTGTATGGACGGAAATTGCAAACATAATTTCGATTTTAGCTTGCTAAGAGCTTTTATTACAGAAGTAGGAGCTAGAAGTTGATTACCGTTGTAAGCTCGTTATTTCCAGAGATGGATCCAAACCGGCACCATCACCTCCACTCGAACCAGCTGAAATTGCTCCCTCTCACATTTCTACGTACTCTACGGTGACTACTATGGATCCCGGCTCCAGCGCCCGTTGTGATGCTAGTCCTTCACCGCCAAAGGATCCTCATCCGACGTCGGAAGACGTTTCTGACGGCTCAAAAGTTACTTCGGCTCCGGAGAAACCACTCAGGGCAGTCGAAACGTGTCGACAGCAGGACTACTTCTTGGTAAAACTTTTAGAGTAGCGAAGTTTTACTTCCAATATTGTAGGGGCTCTGCTAGTTTGAGCTTGCTTGCACTTTAGCGGCTCATTTTCAGAATAGCAGCGCATTCGCCGACAGCCTGGATGAGTCAAGGTTACGAAGCGGTAAGACGGATCTGGTCTCGATACGAACTGATTCCTTGAAGGCCGCTAAAAGGAGGTAGAACATAGCTTCAGACCCTTTGGATTTCGAGTTTCATACATTTTTCCAAATTGCATAGATCTAATTTTTTTTCTTGCAGGTCGTGGGCAGCTTCGGAAGGAACCACATTGCCCGAGGCGGACACAATCCGTCGGATACTGGAAGAACAACGGAGAGGCAAGAATCATTTCCTGCCCGAACTGCCGACGGCACATGAGGAAGTCAAAGTCGGAAATGTTTTGAGGATGGAGGGAATTGTCGACTTAACCACTGCTTTGTTTTAGGCTGAAGCTAACGAAGTCGAGAAGGAGAATTCCTCGAGCTCTGACAGGACAGTGACTACTGATGATGAGTCCTTGGCAAAGAGTGATGACGATATTGAGGTGGGTTGCAGAAAATAAGAGCTGGTGCATCGGAAGAGTTGTGAAGAGGAGTGTGAAATCCCGGCTTTGTTTCACTGCGGGTGATTCATAGACGCGGACGAGGTGGCGATAGATTTTCGATATATTTTAGTTTCACCCACTCTTCAGGAGTTATTGATTTTCTAAAATTCGATCTCCTTACTTGGGTCCTCCAAATCCGATGTTGTGTATTTTACCTGAAAGTTTCTCTTCAAAAGTACAGTAATCATTTGTTGCCAGCTTAAAACGATGTAACAACGGCTCTAAAGGCACTAGGCAAAGGCCATCAAGCAGATTTTCATGTGTCGAGGCGGTTTTGGAATTTCGACTTGATATTTTCATAGAATGTTATATGTTGAATGCCAAACATGGCTGTTGTATGCACCCAAGCCCTTAGCCCCACCTTATGATTTCAGTTTTGACGTGCCTTCAAATTTCTGACTGATTCTAAGGCTTAAGTTCTCCTGAACACCAGGGTATTCATGCGCTTCCATACAAGGCGTCATACTGAATTAGCCCAGTCATTTCGTTTTATGGTAATCATCTCAGAAGTTATTGGCATTCATGGCCGGTGGCTAGAGCTTGATAGCGGTAGACAAGAAATGACCTGGCTGGCGCCAAAAGGCTTTCAGAGTGTGTTAATTCAAATGGCTCAATGAGTGGGAATCCCCAATGAGAGAGAAAGTGGATTAAGTACTAGTCTTCGACACATACTCATGAGGATCATTTAGATGGAGGTGAACCGACGTGTTGTGAAAAGTATTTTACGTCCAGTTGGCTTGAAGAAAGAACGTCGGTGCATTGAATTTGATCCGTTGGCGTTGATGTTGGATGCGGCTCTCGAAGGCGAATTGGATCTGGTGAAGTCCAGTGCCGCCAAAGTATGTTCTATGAAGTTCGGCTACGGTTACCACTCTCTTGCAGTTATTGTCCGATTTTGCCGATAAATTTTGCATTTTTTTTCGGTTTACCACATAATTAACCTGTTCCAGTTGTCAGACGTTTCGGTGGCAAATGATGAAGGCATTACAGCCCTCCACAATGCCATCTGTGCAGGGCACTATGAAATAGTGAAGGTGTGTTGAGATTTTCTTGCATTCTTGGTTTTTGGATTGTTGTAAAAAATCCTTATTCTTATCTGATGATAATTGTTCTAGTTCCTCATCGAAGCTGATGCAGATGTTAATGCACAAGATTCCGACGGTTGGACTCCTCTGCACTGTGCAGCCAGCTGTAATAATTTACCCATGGTAAGCTCACATCTACCTATTTGCCTATTAAAAGGATTGATTTACGTTATCATCAGTGAAAATGAGGAATAAGAAAACTTCGAATATAGTCCTGCCTGGCCATTTATAAATAGTTCTTAGTCTCGTATCTGTCCATCTATAGCACCTCCATCTATGTACCAGAGTGTCTGTCTGTGTCTGTCACTCCAGATTCCAGTACTCTGGTTGTTTCATTTGCGTTCCTACCTCTATCTCTTTGTGCCAACTAGTTCACATGTCTTCTTTCTTTTCTCGATTACATCCTTGATTTGCTTGAGCCTAATGGCAATCCCATTATCTTATTCCCACTCCTCTGTTCGTTCTGCGGTCCTTTCTTACTGCGTCACTGACTTCTGCTGCTGATTTTTTCGTCTTTCTATACTTTTTATACATTCTCTAGAATCCCTAATGTATGCTTCCCTTTGAGGTCCGTCAATTGGTCGAAGGTGGTGCATGCGTACTGGCGTCGACGTTGTCGGACATGGAAACACCAGTAGAGAAATGCGAAGAGGATGAAGAGGGCTACGATGGATGTCTGCGATATCTGACTTGTGCTCATAACGCTACTGGAACAATCAACAATGGAACGGTGGGGATTCCGAAAGTTCGAGCTAAAATTTCACAAATTTAGGAGTTGAGTGGAAATTTGACTATGGTGAGAGTGAAGGTCTCTTTACCCTCTAGGATTTGTTGCACGCGCAACATCTGTATGGATATGTAGGAAACTTTTGGGAGCATACTTACGACATGCAGATATCCATTTTACCTCTCTAACAATAAGTGAACTTGTACTGTAATAAATTGAAGGAATGGGAAACTTGGTTTGGGCGAAAATTGAATCTCGCTTTTGGTAGCAGAGCTATCTAACATTACTCTACAATGGCTCCTGCCTATTCCATGTCCTTCAAAAATCATCACTCGGTTGCTTCTACAAATATTTTTTGACTAATAATTACGGTGTTTTAGGTTTACGCCGCGTACGACTACGATGCACAATATGAGGACGAGTTGACGTTCAAAGCAGGTGATGAGCTACGAGTGCTCAGTAAAGACGACAAAGAGAAGGTAGACGCTCGTTTCTTGAACGATTCAGAAAATTCGGAAAGGTTTAAATAAAAGATTCTGTGAGTTCAGAACTGGTGGACATGTGAACGTGTTGGCCACGAAGGTGAAGTGGGATTGGTCCCACGAACATATGTCGCACTCTATCCAGCTCTCCGGTTTCGAAAGAAGTTAGTTTATTATTTTCTAATTCTTTATTTATTTGTTCTTTATTTTTATCGAAATCAAGGTTTTTTTCGTAATTCGGTTTTTTGATGATTTTTCCGCTCAAAGTTCCAATTCAGACTTGAAAGATTTTTTTTGTGAGATTCAAAATTACATACTCTGATCTTAAGCAGTTAGCTCCTTTTTAGAAACAACTTCATGATGTTTGAGTTGCCGCTGGATCATTGGTCGAAAGATATGGAGTAAGAGCTGTTTGGATTTTTGTTGAATCCCTCGTCGTCGGGTCTTTTCCTTGCAGTCTTTCATACTTTCTTTGGCGTCACTCTGATGTTACTACTGATTATTCGCTTCTTATCCATTTCTTTACTTGGCTTGGCTCTTTCTGGACAATCGCTCACATTGTGGTGTTCATACATTTACTTTGCAGATGTTCTATTCACTTTTAGCCCTAATTATCATAACCTCGTTCAATTATGCAGCCGATTTGGCGATGAGAGCGAGCTACGTTGCTCACCTGAATACTCGTATATTCTTACCTTCTGATTTTATTGACATTTACTACTTTTAACTTATATTAAATGATAGATTAAGGTATCTAATAGGCCATGATATGTGTACATTGAACGTTTGTATATTGATCTGCGTTCTGTTATTGAGGGATGTGTCACTGTTCTTGTATATGCTTTCATTCTCCTCCATTCATCCTCTCTCTCTTTCCTCCTTCTTTACTTCTTCAGTGGGATTTCCATTGGGCGCGCTTGTAGTAGCACATCCCTCTGGCGAGTTCATCGTTTTCGTTCACCCTCGCCGCCGCCGTCATCGTCATCTTTGAATTGGGTTGCGTTGCTCCTGCTCGTCTGTGATTCTCCTCCGTATATTTGGCCTAAATGAATTGGCACATTGCTCAAGGCGTTAACTTTATCACATAGACGAATAAATTTGATTTAACGCCTCGATGATTCACGCGTTTCATTAGCGTGAGCTCGGCAGGCGACACTGCCATGTGAAACAATTGCAGACAGCCATCCGGCTAGTCATTGTCGTCGTAGGTTCACGCTCAAAGAGAGCCAGTTGATTAACGTGACCACACTCTGAAGGGCTCGAAACACGTGGATAGTTGTTGTGAATGAGTAATGTGCTGTAAAAGAAACGAAAGATTTCGATGTGGAATAAGTAAAAAGGAAAACATTCTGCAGTACAGTCATAGAAATTTATACTTTTCTATGTAACAGATAGGTCCATCAGGGATGCGCCATGCACACAGTCTACTTGTAGAAATGTAGGGTTTTCCGGAGCTCGCTTCGCATTTATTCGCTGATTTTTGGCAACCAGCTGATGTTGATGTCAATGTTTTCAACGTTCGAGACAAATCTGACAGCCAGCAATTGAATGACTTCCCTGGAAAACTTCGTTGACTGGGAATAAGGAATCGAATCAACGATTGTGTAAACGTGCTTAGCAACGTGCTGTCTCTACCAGTCTATGAGAGTTAGGGGAATAACAATGTAAAACCTTTTAGCTTGTTTTTGTAAGCTATACCAGTAACCAGTCATGTTTTCTGGCTGGACTGCCCTATTTCGCCCACCTTTCACTCCCCACTCCTTTCCCTTTACGGTCACACGCCTCAATCCTGCTCCTTTCTCCTGACAGAAGCTTCAACTATTAAGTTTCCTGTTGTTCTAGCTTCAAGCTGAACTCGTGATGTAATCCATAGGGACTGTAGGGAGGAGAAAGGCGTTTGAGGCCGGTAGTTGCAAAATGAATCTCAATTCATAGCCGAAGATCAGTTCTTAAGAAAAGGACCAATTCTAAAGCAAATTGTAAGTGACTCTGAAAAGATTGATAGGATATGAATACAAGGGGAAAGAAGAAGGAATTGAAGGGAGCTACTTAGCGGGAATGAATGGGAACGGTTTGTGATGGAAACAAAAAAAAATCGGTCTCTCACATGCTTAATACAATGGTATGGGAGGACAGTTTGAATGAATGACCTAATTTGCTAAATAATTGATTGTAGCAGATTAGGAGGGCCCAGTATAGGCAAACTTTTTGTCAACAACACTACACATAACAACGACCTGCTTACAGTTTAGCAATAAGGAATTTGGTAGTTTATTTATTTTTTGTCAATCACTATCAGATTTTTTTTACTCTTTTCATTATTATGCTTGAGATTTTTTTATTCTTGTCCAAAGCGTATCGAACATCTCTGAATTTTTGTGCCGCCATTTTTTCACTGGATCGAATCCTAAGCTGTAAGATTTAGTAATAGTTTGG